AAAAAAAAAAAAAAAAAACACAAAACAAAAACAAAAACAGAGCTGCCTGGTAAACCATAGGCAGCGAGGGAGAAGAGGACAACGAATGAGGGGCCGTGACTTTCATGTACGTATGTGTCGAGATCGGCCAACAACAAAACCCCTTTTCCGAACGAAGCAATTGCATCTGCGTATGTATCTAGATGCAATGGATCAAAACTGAAACAGCTTTAACTCTATATAGTGAACACCATGAAGCCAACTGAGATGAGCAGACCCAAAATTGAAACAGCTAAACAACATGAAGCAAACTTAAGCCGTCATATTGCCCATGCATGTACATGCATTCATGTATGTATGCACACCGGGATGCATGCATTGCAGTCAGGTACACTTCGAAAAGATCTAGTATGAGTATGCTCTGAGACTCGGAAATCCAAGCAAATCAGGCCAGCCAACGGCATTTTCTCAGGAAACTGCAGATTTGTCAGACTGCAACTATGAGCGTCATTTCACGATCAACGCAGGGCCCTTAATTGTTCTCACCCATATGCACACATACACACATATGTACATTGAATTTCACGTATGCATGCATGCATGCATGCACGCAGGCATATGCATGCATGCAGGCATATGCATGCATGCAGGCACATAGGAAAATGCATGCATGCACACAGGCATATGCATGCACGAATGCACACATGCACGAATGCACACATGCACTCAGGCATATGCATGCACGCATGCACGCATATGCATGCATGCATGCACGTATGTACGTATGTTTACATATGAGTGAGAACAATTTAGGCGTGCATGCATTCATGAATGTACGTATATATGTATGTGTACATATGGGTGAGAACAATTTAGGGCTCTGCGTTGATTGTGAAATGGCGTGCACAGTTGCAGTCTGAGAAATCTGCAGTTTCCTGAGAAAATGCTGTCTGCTAGCCTGATTTCCTTAGACTTCCGAGACTGAGGGCATACTCACACAATAACTTTTCTAAATATATCTGACTGCAATTACGGCCAGATGTGGACGACTCTGACTGCAATCACGTCCAGAGCTTAGTAGAACGTGTCCTGGTGTATGCCCTGAAAAAACTGTCTCGTTGTGTTGCCTGCGCGTTTGAGAGTCGATCTATGATGCCTACTGCTTCTGTGTCTGTCTGCATGCGCTGACTCTGCACTTGCACTGTGTTTCTGAGTCCCCGGAGGGTTAGAATAGAAAAATAGGTGCAGCTATGGAGGTAGGACTGAAATTTGGGCAACAGACGGACTTGGAGGAAATTGTAGGACGAACAGGGCCGAAAGCAGAATTTGAAAAGGACCCGTGCTGTGTTTCTAGGATGCTCACTGTGTCTTAGTCTGTATCTGAGCCTGTGTCTGTCTGTGTTGTGCTGTGTTTGTGTGTCCTGAAAGGGGTAGAACAGTAAATAGGCGCAAGTTACAGGGTCACAACTGAAATTCCAGGACAAACAGGTACGCGAGCAGAATTCGATAGGCACCTGTGCTGTGATTCTATGATGCTTGTTGAGTCTGAGACGATTCTGTGTCCATGCACTAAAGCAGAACCTGATAGGGGACCGGGCCGAGGTCCCACTTCGATAGGCACCCGTCCTGTGATTCTATGATGCTTGCTGAGTCTGAGACGATTCTCTGTCCATGCGCTAAAGCAGAACTTGAAACGGGACCGGGGTGAGGTCCCAGTTTCCGGGATTATTCATTTCTGACCGTCGATCTTCACAATCGACAGTCAGAAATTAATACTCCAGGCTTTTGGGACCTGGCCCCGGTCGGCTTGTTGGGATTTTCTGTCCATCTGCATTCAGGCTTTTTCCCGGCCTGTGGCAGGTCTTTTTTCCAGGTTTGGGATTTATCAGGTCAGGACAGCCGTCTGGTTTTGGCCATTTATTTCTGTTCTGTCGCTGGAGGTTACCCCGACACCTGCACCAAAGCAGATACCTTGGTAATGGTCCCTGTCCCAGTACCAAGGTATCCATTGGTAATGGTCCCAGTCCCAGTGCCATATGAGGACAAAGGATCACAAAAATCTCTTTTATTTCTCTCTATTGAGTCTATTCATCATACTCTATCTATTCATTTTTCTGTTGTATAACGAATATATGAGATAATCAATAGTCTATCCGTTGGTAATGGTCCCAGTCCCAGTCCCAAGGTATCCGTTTTGTTTCTGGTTTGTTTGTTGAGGATCCCTAGCCTAACCTTTAGTGTGCATAATCAAAATGAGCCGAGTCTGTTGAAAGAACCAAAAAAAAAAAAAAAAAAAAAAAAGTAAACAAAAGAGAAAAAAATGTTAACGAAATCAACAAAGGAGAAGAAAACTGTAAACAAAAGAGAGCAAAAAGGTGGGAAAAAAAGAGAGGGAAGGGGGAAGCATGGACCATACACCTGGTCATATGATGCATGTGCACTCCAATTCTGAGGCGTGGGCCACTAGTTCATAGGACTTGGAGGATTATAAGCTCACAGTTAAGGGTCAGGCCCGCACTAGTTATATGTATGGCACGGCCTGGACGCACGAACCTGGCAAGTACGATGTCCAGCTTCACGTTTTTTAAGCATGAACCTTGAAGACGGTAGTCAAGCTATTCCCAGCCATATGGATTTGGGGTAATGTTGACGGCATGCAATTGGTTGATTGACTTGTTCTATAACTACAAGCTGGCTGAATTCTTTCTCTCTCTCTTTCTCCCTCCCCCCCCCTCTCTCTCTCTCTCTCTCTCTCTCTCTCTCTCTCTCTCTCTCTCTCTCTCTCTCTCTCTCTCTCTCTCTCTCTCTCTCTCTC